ACAAACTATTGAACGAACATCATATCTCATAATGATAGGGGACCTTATTTTGCCCATCTTTTTCATTGGTAAATACGTGTCAGGAATAAAGTTTTGGGACTGACATCAAATGCCTCTATTTCTACTTCACCTGAAATCACTTTTTCAAATTTTGGAACTAGGATTGATGCAAATTACTATTGCTCAGTCAAAAAATAAAACAATTAAATCGATATACATATATATATATATATATTGGTATTTCAATGCTCTTTTGCACAACTTTAGGTAAGATTAAATGAGTAGAAATATGTAAATAACTAAATACAAATTCAAATCCTGTGAAAAATGCCCACCGGTCCTTGTTCACCGTTCAATCATAAGTCCAATCGATTTCATTACAGTTTATGTTTTCCCAATGATATAATCAAAATACTAATATACCCTGTATTAGTATAAAGGATAAAATTGTTATATATTACTTTAATAGCCCATAATATTTTAACAATTTTCAGATTTCATGTCATGTGTACAATTCGTAGACTAAGAAAATATATTAATTATTAATTCAAAACACTTGACTTTACATAAAATGAAAACAATGCTACAATTATATTAACTTTTATTTATATCAACTTTTACTACTATTTTCTGGCGAAATTTTTTGGGAAGTCCAAATTGTGAGCTAATTTTGTGAAAAAATATACATTGACAATAAATATTTCCTTCGAAATGTGCAAACAATAAGAGAACGTTGATGGGGAAAGTAAGGTTTCCATAAAATTATTTTAATGTGAGTGTTATGTACACCTTTATGTACACTATTATGTACTTATAGCATTACTCGTGGCAGAATTATTGCACACTGCTAAAAATGTGATAAAATAAATTTAGCCAACATATAGAGGCAAAAACTTTATTAAAAAAATAATAATTGGAAAAAATATGTTTTGGAAGCAACAGTCATGCCAAATAAACTTTTTACAACAAAACGATTTTTTTTTTCCTTTTAAATTGTGGTACAACATATTTGGCAGATACATCAAATTTTGACTTTTTTTCTTCTAAAAAATTGAATTTATAGAGAATTAAACTATGTAGAGAAGTTCTGAATTTCAAAATATTTTTCCTAATGTGATTTTTCAGTTAAACAAAATTATCTATATATATTGAAAGATGTTGATGATTTTAAGTATCAATAAATAGAAAATGCTCCCCAAATATCTCATACTACTATTTATTTGGCATCATAGTATGAATTATTCAGCTATACATAAAGTCCAAATGATTCACTATCCCACATCAGTTACAGTACCTAAATAGGCATTTGCGTGCCATTCTCATTGGGCTCATTTAAAAAATTAATTTTTCACCATGGCTCAAAGTTATACTACTTGGGAGATGGGTCTTCATGTTGAACGATATTAAATGTCACTTTGTCATATTTTATAGATGTTATAAGTTATCTTATCAATTAGTTTTACTAACTTTTTTTTTTTTTTGAAATGTTTATATAAATTAAGTTACCATATGCAAGTCAGTGCAATGAAAGAAAACCTTTCTCATATATTAGTGACATAGAAAAGATTGATCATCCAAAGCTAAGGGACTTGGTCAATTCCTATCTACCACAATGTAATATGTAGTACTTGGCAACCCTCCTCCAAAAAATATAAATAAATAAAAATCACTGAAAATAGGGAATTACACATCTTCTGTAAAATCACAATTTGTTTATTTATTTTTTTAAGAAAAAATATATGGGTTTTTTTTTCCCCCTATGAATTAATCCACATTATTGGTGGCCAATAATTAAGGCCCCCCAATTTAATCAAATGCGAGGGGATATGCACTAAAACAGTTGCATGACATATTTCTTGGATTTTTTTATTCCCATTATTCCATCTAATCTAATATAAGATAAGCAAAACAAATGACCCACACACTCTTAACTCATTATTAACGAGGCCCTACTAAATTCAACTGTATTCAACTTTAATGACCGAAAAGGACATTGATTTTAGAGACAACACATAATATACACACAAGAAAGGGCAGTAGAAAAAGAAACAAAAAAATGCATTTTAATTTATAATAAGAATATTTTTACATTGTCAAAAATTGTTTTAGGGATTGGATAACCCAAAACACACATTAAAAACATTCATTGATTTTCTCATTGTGATATTATCAAAATTAACTATCCAAATCTTGAGAACACATAATTCGGTAGGCCAGTTGATAAATCAATTTGGTAAATTAGATTAATTCTATTACTATCCACTTAAATTTTGCTAAACAATATTAATTAACTTACTCACTTATGTTACCAAGTGTATTACCAAGTGGACATCCACATATATAGTTGAACTGACCACAATGAAAATATGAATTTTATGTCTCAAGAGTGTTGACACAAGCAAACATGTGTGCCACAAATTATATTTATATTTTCTAATTTTTCTCTTTGGTTGTTTATTTCCATTTTTGAGTTCATGGATTTTGGGTTATAAAATTCACAAGTTATATACCTAAAAACATCAAATCTGGTTTCGGTCCATTTTATGGTAAAAGTTTTGGTAAAAAGCCTTTATTAATTTCTCACACAAAAAAGGACACATCAAAGTGAAGAAAAGGATAATGATTCTAAAAACTAATAACTTGCCCATGTTCC